GGATCCTTAACACCAGAATTTCAAGCAGAAACAGTCTCTGTCTGTCCTCGTTCTGAATGGCAAGTCCGTGGGAGTTCAGAAGGAACCTGTGAGAAAATGTAATCACAGTTTGCAAAGACTAAAAGTGAGTGGCTCCCCTCTGGGAGAGTCCACAACATCCTGGTTTGTCTGAGTGGATCATTCCTCTGCCTAAGGGACTGGTAATGAGTAATGCCATTGGAACTAGGTCTCCCGAAGTAAAGGACACATTGCAAAAAGGCTCCAAGACACTGGAATCAAAATTTTTCCCCTTATTCTTACACTTAAAATTTGTCACAGTAAAAAAAAAGAAGTTTCCTTTTGGAGTGTCACTGACCAATAGAGCAAGCAGCCTAGTTCATAAAGCATCACTGTTAAGTGCTTCTTGGTAGAAAAAGACATTCTTTCTTTATCAATGCACTGGAATACCTTGGGGCAACATGAAGAACGTATCTCGTATAGGATTCCGGGTTTCTTCAGACTTCTGGCCAAGTATGCAGGAGAAAAGTGGCAAGGTCAGTTAGCCACGGGGGGTACATGACGTTCACCAATGTGGTTCAAACACAGGTGGATAAACAGGATGACAGTCCTGGCACATTCTCAGGAAGGGCACAGAAGCAACCAAGTTTGGAAACCATGGACTGAGTGAACCAACTAAAGGAAACACAGCTGCTTAGAAACAAGGAGCAGAAAGGTATTGAAGGAACAAAGCTTAAGAAGGCTGACCTTGCACAGAATAACGGTATTTTGATTGGAAATTTCTCAAAGCTACCAAATCAACAGGTAGAGGGTAGGAAAAGAGCAAGTGTGAGAATGAGATACGTGAAATTAGAGTCAGCATAACCAGTGGCCCTGTGGAAGGAGAACACACTATCTGGAGCAAGGTTCTGGCTGGTTTATTTTTGCACAAGAAAAGCATGAGGAAAAAAATGAAGTAATAGGTAAGCCAACTACACACTATAGGAAACAATGGAACAATCCGGGGTAAACAGGAAAATCAGGCCAAAATCTGACTCAGAAAATAAGCTGCTTAGGAAGCTAAGATGCCGAACTAGTTATCAAATGATGTGATTTCTCAAGACTAACACCTGGGCACGGAGATGGAGAAAAGGACCAAGTTCAGAAAAAAAGGGGGGAGGCAGTAAGGAAATCAGGAAGAGTGCTATCAAAGAGTCATAAACATTGGCCTCTTCGGGCCAATTAACTGGATTTAAATGCCAGAGAAATAAAATCACTGTCAAAGTACAAGCTAAGGCGAGATGGTGCCTCAGAAAGGCAAGGCTCCTGAACGCCCAGGCATCCAGCAAGATCTTCAGAGACCGAAAGCCACTGCTGCTTCTCTCTCAGTCCCCAACTAACCCCACACCTAGTGATTTCAAGACTAGTTTACAGAATCTTCCATGTAGCTCTCATGGATAGAATGCGAAAACGTGGTGGGAGGAAAGGACAGTGAGCTAAATCCACAGGAGACTGAAGAGGGTGCTCATCGCACTCTTGACCTTGTCCTATTCAACATGGTTACTAATGACCTGAAGACATGAACAGTAAACCAGCCCTGCTAGTAGTACAGAGTGGGAAAGTGACAGCTAATATCACCGATTGCGTAATCGTCCCCTCCCTCCCATCTCCTCCTTTTCTGCCTACATCAGCACTTCCTAAAATGTGCTCCACAAAACAGTGACCTTGGAAACGAGACCTGAAAAATGGCTTCCCAAGTTCAAAACACTTGGAGAATTCTCCATTTCCTTCCTTTTTAGTTATTAGTACATCAAAAGCTCTGAGAAATCCTGGAAGAAATGAACCTCTGTCTTGATTTAACTTAATGTTTCCCAAACATTTGCTCTTGAAACATTTCCACATGGCACTCACTAACTGAGGATGGCCTAAAATTTAGGCCCTAAGCCATGTTCAAATTTTCTGTGCTAAAAAAATGATTCAGTCCCCTTGAGTTACTACTGCTTCATCACTCTTCTTCCTTCAACTATTATATTAAAAAAAAAAAAACCTCTGACACTTCCTGTCTCCTGTTTCCTCACTACCCACACACTTCTCCATCACTCGAAATCTGGCTTCAGCCCCCAGTGCTCCACTGAAAGTCTTCTCATGATGGGATCAGCTGCATAGACAGCAGAACTAATGGCTTCTCTTTGACCCCTCTATCCCTCCGCAGGGTCATAGATGACTGGTCACACTTCTTGAAACTCTTCCCTCAGCTTCCACAACACTGCATTCCACCCATCTCTGTGACTATGTGACCTTTGGTTCCTCTTTCTCTTTCTAACCCTTCAATTCTCAGATCAACTCTTACTTCTCCCTTGAGTAAACTGCCCACAGTCTGAACTACTCCACCTTCACGGATCCACAATTCTAATCCTAAGCCATTTCCTCAACTTCAGATCCACATTTCCAATGGGCTTCTCAAGTTGTTCACTTTACTTTTCTCCAAGGAGTATGCATTCAATATACTCCAACCAAACTCATCAATTTCCCCACCAAACTTCCTGTCTTCTTGACTCCTATTATGCAATCACCATTTCCAGAGGGGTGGGGGACAGCACAGACACATCAATAATCTGTGTGGCTTCTGTGCTAAGACAGAGAAGAAACTCAAGACACTTAGAAAAATGGATGAATCCTTTGAATCATACCCAATTCATAGCTCATTCTTCAAACTCCAATAAGATACCAAGTTCTCTTCTACTTCAACAAAAGCTCTGGATTCTTTCCACGTAACAAGGCCACTATCCTTCATTAGACTTGAATGAAAGCCCAAACGCAAACTACAGCTATCTTCTACCTGGGCGATCAAGCTACCACTGCTAGCAGAGCAATCTCTCTAAAATGCTATTCTACATCACTCTGGGGCTCAGACACCTTCAATGGTTTCCCACTATTTCCAGAACACAGTCCAACCCTCTTAGCATGCTGTCACTGCCTTCCATGTCTTGACCTCTGCTACCTTTCCATCTTATCTTCTAGTACTGCCTACGTTCTCGTCCAGGGGTAGGCACACTACAGCCAGTGGGCTAAATCTAGACCACTGTCTGTTTTGTAAATAAATTTTTATTGGAACACAGCCAGTTGACATTCTGGGCCCGATAATTCTTTGTTGTAGGGGGCTGTCCTGTGCATTGCAGAACGTTTAACATGATCTTTGGCCTCTACGCACTAGATTCCAGTAGCACTTCCCCAGTGTAACAACCAAAAAGGTCTCCAGACATTGCCGAATGTCTCCTATGGGACAAAACTGGCTCCAGTCAAGGACCATGATTGTAGAGGTTTCCAAGTACAAGCTAACAGCACAATGTCATTGCTAATAAAATATATAGTCATGGTGGTACAGAATCCAGATTCAGAGATAAGAGTTGCATAGTATTCAGTGCTAGTTGACTCACACTTGTGACACTGTACAATTATGAATTTTAAGAGGACTTTGGAAAACTGGAATTGATACAATCAAAGGTGAGCAGACTGATGAGAAACTAGAGGAAAATGTCCTAAGGGGGATATTTAAGTTATTGGAGGTGTTTAGCCCGTACAAGAGAAGCAGAAGAGAAACTCATGATCTTCGAATATCTGATGGGCTGTCCCATGGGAGGAAAGTTTAACCTGCTGTTGTTCAGGAAGGCAGAACTAGAACCAGTGGGCAATAGCTGCAGGAAGGCACATTTTGGCTCTATACAAGTAAAAGCTTTCTAACAATCAGAGCTGGCCAGCATAGATATTAGGCTTAGCTGTGAAACACTGCGCTCATCATGCTGGAAGTGTTCAGGCAGAGACCAGATGAATTAATGTCAGAGATGCTGTGGAGAGACTCCCGCATGGGGTGGGAGGTAGGACAAGATGGTCTCTCTAGGGGTTTATTCCAGCTCTGAGATTCTAAGGCTAGCAAAGGAAAAGCCATATGCCATGAATACTAAAATTCTCTAATTTCAAGACCTTAATTACAACAAAGGAGAAAAATATTTTACTAAACAATTTCCCCTGTGTCTGTCTGGCAGCATCTTAGGTTTAGTCCTTGGCATTGCAACTACCAATGATCTATTTTTTCTAATTGACCTGTAGTCAGTTCCTGGATGATGTATTTCACTACCTTTAAACCATGTCTTTTATTCTGCTAATAGTCACCACTAGTACAATTTGTACAATGCTTTAGTTTTCAAAGCATTGTGACATGCATTACCTTATGCACATTAGCTAAATACGAGCATGAAAACTTATTTTGGATAATCTGCTCTCATTTACTGTCTCTTGCCTGAATCCTTATGAAAGAAAGCTAGCCCTTAGTATTCATTAAACATTCACTAATAAGGTATATGCCTGCAGATACTCATCTCCAAAACAAATCATTTATACAACCCAGAGATAAACCAAATCTAGTTATTCCACTATCAGATAGGCCAAATGGAGTTATGTCAGCATCAGAAACATGGACTTACCTCAGCGAAATTTCTATTTTATTTACGATTTGGGGAGGAAATGTGAAAAAGTATAATTTAGTTTCCCCAATTTTCTTTTTTTTTTTTTTTCCAAAGATTGTCACCTGGGCTAACAACTGTTGCCAATCTTTTTTTTTTTTTCCTGCTTTTATCTCCCCAAACGCCCCCTGTACACAGTTGTATATCTTAGTTGCACGTCCTTCTAGTTGTGGGATGTGGGACGCCGCCTCAACGTGGCCTGACGAGCAGTGCCATGTCCGCACCCAGGATCCGAACCCCGGGCCGCTGCAGCGGACCATGTGAACTTAACCACTCAGCCACGGAGCCGGCCCCAGTTTCCCCAATTTTCAACGTGGCCATACAAACCAAAAGTTCCAGAAAGCAGTCACAACAAAATGTGAAACATATGTACCACTGACAAGCAAAGCCATCAGAGGCCCTAAGTCCAGGGACTCCTTCACTCCTCAGCTATAACTGCCAATGAGAGTTGTGTAAGGACTTTCCCCAAAGCCAAACTGGGCCCTCACTCGCTGCTTTACTTACTTCTTTACGTTTCGTTTCTGGACATTCCGATTGTAGAGTGAGGGTTGCACCTTCGATATTTCTCGGCATGGGCGTGGAACCAGGGTTTATTGTTAAATGAATCTGATCTGGTGAGATAATGTGTTGCACATAACCCTGGGACATTGCTTCATGATCTATTAGGTGAAAGCCCTCTTCACCCCCTACTAGAAAAGGCAAGTGTTCTCCGCACTGTCCATCGTCATCTTCATCCTCCAAAGTGCCAGGGTCCTGCTCAATAAGAACAGTTGTCCTATCATAAACAGTTCCAGATGAGGAAGGCACCAGTCCGTTTTTATCCACAAACCTGAGCATCTTGACATCGGGGGTCAGCTCATCTTCCTCCGCCTCAAAGTAGATGATGTTGTTGTCTGGACTGTGTTCCCCCATGGTTCAATCGTGCTCAGCCCAATTGTGAGAAATGGAAAGGTGATGGCCTGTCTGCAACAGAACACAGCCAGAGTTAGAGCCCTCCCACAGGACCAGGGGTCTCCTCAGCAACCACACAGCTCCTCTTCCCTCTCATTTCAAGAGCAGGCCAAAGAAAAGGAAAAACCATGTTCCTTGGAAATAACTTTTTTTTAACTTTTAAAGCTTCAAGTCATTCTAAAGGAAAAGCAATGCTTTAAAAAAAAAAAAAATTGAAGTAATGAGTAGCAGTTCACAAGATCTTCCAAATGTGCCTTATTGCCAAATAATTTGAATGTTGGTCAAAATATCTAAAGGGCATATAGGGACAAACTGCTTTTAGGCTGAGTTCCCATAAATCTTAAATTAAGGAAACCCCACTCAAATATTCCCTAAGTCAGACCCCGAGGCAGTGCAGTCTACGGTGGAAGGAGCAGGGCTTTGAGGCAGGGTTACCTACTTACAAATCCTGGCTTTGTCACTTACTACTTGAGTAACTTTTCTGTGCCTCATTTTTCTTACGCTTAAGATGAGACTGGTAATTCCTGTTCTCTCAAAGTCGTTATGTGGAGTAAAAGAGATAATTACATTAAAGCACAGTGTCTGACAATAGTAGAGAAAACAATTGTGAATTCATTCCCTCCTTAGAACAGACGTTTCAGCTTCTGGGTAGAAGGGCCGATCCCTCATCAGGCATATCTAATGCAGATCACCTTATCTATTTATCTCCTAAAACAATCTGGTGTCCACTAAAAGCTAGGCTTGTAGAGTGTGCTCCCTGCAGTGAGGGAATGACTAGTCTTATTTTTGTTTCTACTGCCCCTAGCACAGTACACTGACACTCACTAGGAGTTCAGGAGACGTCACCTAAATGAATGAAAGACGTGCAGATATAGTTTTTGGGAAGATATACTCCCTTGAGAACATAAACTCTCCTGGAAAGATAGGTTTTCTTGGGAAAAATACCAAATTTGAAGCTTTCCTGTTCTAGAATAGTGATTCTTCCTTTACCTGCAAACACACAGGTTCTACAAATGTGGGTTTAGCAGGCAGAACAGAGAATTTAAAAATAATCAGCACATCACTTTTAGTTTTCAGTCTGGCTTTGTACTTTATCTTTCTTTTCTCCTCTGGATTAGAAAGTGAACCTTTACGTAGTGGGGCGGCTGGACAGAAACAGGCCAAGGGATCAGACCCGGGAGGAACCGGCCCGACCCCTTGCTCTGGCTTACGCAACCCAGTAGATGCACATTTCGCTGCATCTGAGAGAAGAGATAAGAACACCGGGGGCCCCACTGGGCTGCCCCGGCACCATCGGCGGCAACGCGGAGACCAACTGTCCGGAACAAACAAGACCAGGAGGTTTGAGGGTGGCAAACGAAGAGTACAAACGGAGCACCCCTGAGAAGAGGCTGGGAAAAGGAACCTGGCTAGGAGAACTCCCAGCCCGGGACGACACGGAAAAACCCGAAGACAGGCTGGGGGGGGCTCCAAGCCGGACGAAGAGGGGCAGGGTCCGGGTCTCCATGGAAACAGGGGAGGGGGGCTGGATACCCATCCCCATGGAAACGGAGGAGGGGTGGGGTCCCTATGGTGACCCGACTGGGGTCTCCACTGGGAAATGCTTCAGGAGGGAGCCTAAGCCCAGCGCCCCCCGGGCAGCCCCCAGCCCAGGCCGCGTCTAGTTTCGCCTTTTACCTCCGCGGCTCCCGGCAACGGCGGCAGCGGCAGCTTCTCCCCTCCCCAGCGGCACCATGATTGCCCCCACCTTCCCCGAACGTCACTTCCGCTTCCGCTTTCCGGAGGAAGGAGGGGAAACCGGCTCCGCCTATCGCGGGCGCTTCGGGTTGGCTTGTGCGGCATGGGGGCTGAGCTCGAGCCTCCAATTGGAGAGCGGGAGGGGCGGGGCGGGGCGGGGGCTCCACGGAGACGGCGCCCTGCTGGGAGTTCGCCCAGCGCCGGGAAGCGTCCGCCGGGAGTCCGGCCGGCGCTCCCGCGGCACTAGGCGCGAGGAACGCGGATTGAACCCTCAACCACCAACCCAAAGCGGCCTCCGCCCGGCTTGCGCTGGCCGCCCTCGCCCTGGCAGCCACAACCGCAATGGGAAGGATCAGCTAGCCATCCGAAGTCCGGCCCGGCTCCGCAAGGGGAGAGCCTGGAAGGCTGTGACATCTCCGGATTTCTCCCTGTGGCCGCAGCTGCCCCTCATCGTTCACCACAGTTAATATGAGCAGGAGGGTCTAAGATGGAAGATTGGAGCCAAATAGCAGAACTAGGAGTATTTCGATCCTAGCCGGAGGTGGCCGCCGCCTCTTCCCCCACTCTGACGCTCTCCTGAGATTCCCAACTCTCTGCCTCCTCACACTCCTGCCTAGGCTGTCTGTCCCAATTTTTTCCCCTGCCGAGGACTGCGGGTTTCACGGCACTTGCGCCCGGGCCAGTCAACGCCACCTACTGGCCATTCCCTTTCTTTAACCTTTCACACTGTCATCCTACTGGCCGGTATGTGTATGTAAGTCACATTTTACACTGCCAAAGAGTAGTGGTGTTCCCGTGCCCAAGAAGCAGTTTTGCATGTGGCTTCATTATGCTGATTTTTCTAAATGCCAGGAAGATCTAGCTGTTAGAACCTCCCAGGAGCCACTGCCCGTTTTCCCCATTAGCTACTTCTCTAGAAGATTCAGAGTGGGACAACCCCCGGAGACTAGATCAGGGGTCAAGGGGATCAGACCTGCCTGCAGCATCTCTTGCTTTTAAAATTTGAGTAGTGACTGTTACCACCAGACTGCCAGGCAAATATCTCTTTGGCCTCTGACCAGCTGTCCCTGTGCTTAAGCCACAAAGGTCCAGCTGCTGAGAGTAGCCATCTCTTAAGAGATAAAAACATACAAACAACTACTGTTAAAAATACATTTATCACTGAAATATATTACACATACGAGAGAGGGGATGCATCATATATAATTTGGAGGATTTGCTGGCGCAGAAAGTCCCACTTGTTTCACCAGAACACCAGTTTCTTCAGTGTTTTCCTTTTCAAGACACCGTACTGCCCTCAGAGGCCCAGCGGCCAGCCCCAGAGTTGTTGAGCCATATCTGAGTAGGAATGGGGGTGGGGTGTCATATGCATGCACACACGTCCTCAGAGCGTTGGAAGCATCTGGGGTGGCTGCAGCCTGTTTATCCAGTAGCTTCCACTTGCATTCTTGCTGTCCAACTCATTCTCCCTTCAGGACTCCAAAGTTCGTTCAAATATCTGATCCTGGGCAGCTCAGCCCGGCTACAGGGAAGGCACTGACTATGCCCTGGAGGCAGGTTGAGCGAGCACAAGAAGTACAGTTATTTAAACATCTTTGAAAAAAAAATAGAGATCTATCTGTGTTAAATAACTAAAGTTGAACATTGAATGTCAGTTTTATTGTGGTGGTTTTCCCCCATGTCTTCACAACTCACAGCAGCTCTGGGTGTGACAGCCATGGTGGGGAGGGTGGTCTGGGCTCAGGAAACAGGCAGCTGCCACTCTTGCTTCTAAGTGGCCTCACATCCTCTTAAGGCAGCTCTTCAGGTGAGGCTGGAAATTGGCTGCCTCAGGTAAAATCGGAGAGGAGAGGGAGGCTCAGGGGGAGTTGCAGAGGAACTGGTGAATAAATTCTTGAGCCTTCTTCTTCTCTACCATTTCAAGCTTTTGGTGACCAGCTGGGTTTCGAAGCAGTAAGCTGCCAAATATGCTAGCTGCATGAAAAACACAGAAAACAAACGATTCAGCAAAAGAGGTACTACTTATTCTTGTGTTGTTAGGGGTGGGGAGGATTTTTGCTGCTTTATAGAAACTATTTGAGAGTAAACTTCACCCAGAGCTTGCGATTTGAGTTTGCAGGCCTTCCCAGGCATGCTCCCACAACAGTTCTGCTGCAGTGGACTTGGGACCCCCCTCAACCACACTTCTCCTAATGAGGCTCTCAGTTTGCAGACATACTTCCCACAGACGCTTGGCTGCTCACCTAGAATATTCTCATCCAAATGATTTTTTGCTGAATTTTTCAGCAGTTCTTGCAAAAACGCCATCAAGTAGTTGAAGACATTTTTGTGGAATGTGGGGAGAGTAGAAATGACCTGGAAGAGAGAGAATTTGGATTTGTCTTGTTGTTCACTCAATCATGTGTCAACTGCCTGCCATATTCCAGGAACAGGAGTAAGACTGTGCACAGAAAACCTTGATCAGTTACCACTTGGCACAAATGCCAAAAGAGAGGCACAGATCAAGCACTGCATGAATTTAGACGTCAAACTTCTCACTGCATGTTTCTCAAAAGACTTAAAGGAATAGAAGACATTTTAGTTGGGTCTTGAATATAAGACAAGATTGGACCTGCAGAGGTAAGGACTAGAATACTTAGGGCAAAAGAAAGTGTAAAAACAAAGGCAAGGTAAGGAGAGCAGGGAGATGAGGAGAGAGGACACATTGTGAGAAGCCCACTTTGGCAGAAGCACGAGGCCTGCAGGGTTGATGAGACTAGACTTCAACCAGACTAGACCTCCAGCTCTCTGCACATCAGAAGCGGGTGGGAAGCTTGCACAAACTATATTCCAAAAGACATTCGCACTCAGTGGATGTGGGGTGAGGCTCTGGAAAATGTATTATTAGCAAGTTTTCTAGATTATTCTGCCATGGTCAGTTGTATGTGTGAATCACTAAGCTAGATCATAAAAAGTCTTGAACATTTAAGAAAATCACTAATTGGCAGTGGAAAGCCAAGTATGGTTTTCGACCAAGAGTGACATGCTGAGAGCTTTAGAATACACAATCTGATGGTGCTATGCAAAACAAACTAGCAGAGGGAGAGCCTGAATGCAGGGCCCTGAACCGTGGTAAGTGGAACGAGAATGGAAGAAAGAAGATGGGTGACAGATCAAGAGGTCTGGGCATGTGGGAGGTGAGAAGAGGAGGAGTCAAAAATGACTCAGGTTTCTAGGGTGAGTCATTGGAATTAAGAACGATGCCATTAAAAGAAAAAGGGACATGAGAGGAAGAACAGGTTTGGGAAGGAAAGATGTGGAAGTGAATTTCTAAGACATTGCATTTTGAGGGATGGCACCCACTTCGTTCCCTCAGGCCTCATGAGGCCTGGGGCTGTAACATGTGTACGCTGATGCTCAACACTTCCCCTCACCTGTTTACTTGCCGTGTAGTTGCCAGAACACTCCAAGCAGTTATGGTAGGCGCTGTAACAGATGACAGGCTCCGGCAGGCTCTCCAGGAAAAGCAGCAAGGCTTCGGCTACAGAGTGATTGCTAGCAGCTTTGAGCCCATCGTTAAGGAACAGGGGATGCTGCTGCCCATGGTTAGGAAAAGGCCCAGGAGCGAGCACATGCCAGAAGTGCTGCCTGCTCAGAGCTAGGATGCCAGACTGACATCTTGAAGGGGCCAAGCTGTTTGTCAGCTTAGCCGGGCCCTCCTGAGATCCTGCTATATTGGTTGCTTAAAGTTGTAAAGTCTTCTCTATGCAAACTTTAAGTAGGAAAAACATGAGAGCTGAGGACACAAGATCAGATTTTGAGCCTTAAAATATTACTCATTCCTTTTTCTCACCTCTCCTACTCATATCCTCACACACAGACACACACGCACGTGAATATCTGAAGGATACAGAGGGTGTCGATCATGCCAGTGTCCAGACAGTCCCTGACGTGCTCAAACTCCGACCTCAGGCCTGGCTGCTGAAACAGATCTTCCTGCAGAAGGTAAGAGAGTTGCAAAACAATTATATTCTCAGAAAGTCAGCCACCATTTCCTGACCTAGAAATATAATCACCAGCAGAGTGCAAAACGAGCAGGGTAATGCGGCCTGTGAATCACCCTGGTAGATGAGCTGATTTAGGCTGATGGCGCTGGTTCATCTTGCAGGCCTTCCCAGGCATGCTCCCACAACAGGTCTTTAAAGTGATCTTTAAAGTATGTCTTTGGGGCTGGCCTGGTGGCATAGTGGTTGAGTTCGCACGCTTAGCATCGGTGGCCAGGGTTCATGGGTTTGGATCTTGGGCGCAGACCTACACACCACTCATCAAGCCATGCTGCAGCAGTATGCCAAATACAAAACAGAGGAAGACTGGCACAGATGTTAGCTCAGGGACTATCTTCGTCAAGCAAAAAGAAGAAGATTGGCAGCAGTTGTTAGCTCAGGGCCAATCTTCCTCACACACACATAAAAAAGTATGCCTTTAAAGTAGCTATGTTTCCTGCAGTGTTATAGAGGGATTAACCAGAAAAAGAAAAAACTGAAGAAAATATATCATAAGATGGAAAAATGGACCTCAATGCTTTGTAACATCAAGATTATGGCAATAAAGGTATTTCCACTAGTCCTAGGATACTTTATATTCATTTGTTTTACAAAATGATCTAATGCCATGTAACTAGGTTAATATGTATTGCTCAGAAGTTACACGTGAAAGGAGCTCTACAGAGAAGGGAGAATAGCAGAGTACTTAGGAATGTGAATTCTAAAACAGAGGAGAAAAGCCCCTTGACAGTGGCCTTGGCAATGATTTTTTGGATATGACACCTAATGACGCACAAGCAACAAAATCAAAAATAAACAAGCGAGACCACATCAAACTAAAAAGCTTCTGCACAGCAAAAGAAACAATCAGCAAAGTGACAAGACAACCTATGGAATGGGAGAAAATATTTGCAAACCACCTAGCTGATGATACGGGGTTAATATCCAAAATACCTAAAAAACTCATACAACTCAACATCAAAAAAGCCCAACAAATAATCCAATTAAAAAATGGGCAAAAGATCTG